TTATTGTTATACTAATAAGATTTTTTTTTAATTGCGGTAATATTATATTAACAATTACTTCTTGTTAAACAACGACGATTAAGTTAAAATAGTCAAATATATACCTTTGAGTATACTGTCGTTATAGTTCAGTATTGAAACAACAAGCTCTATACAGATATTGCTCATGATAAAACGTTTGTTTTACGTAACAGGCGGGCACAGCTCAAAATTATTAGAATCCACGTAGGTATTATATTACTTAACTACAGTTTTAGTTTAATTATCTAATCAATATCGAATTTCATCTACACAAAAAATATCTGTACGACTTATAAAGAGCACAACAAAGGAAACAGCGAGTTAGGAAAGGAATAGGAAAGCTATGAATATGTTATATGTACGTACAAGGACGGAGTATAAGTAGAAGTATAGACAAATTTAATGATATTATACTAGCTATTTACCGCGACTTCGCACGCGTAAAATATAGTCTATGTATAATGAAGGTACCCATAGGGAAAGAATTTTTAAAATCGGTCCGGTAGATTCGGAGCCTATTCGTTGCAAACAAACAAATATTCGATTCTTTCTTTTTAATAAAGTCACTTTCGCACACACACGTAATTTTTTTTTAATCATTTGATTGTTTTTAAAATCATTCAATTAAGTCTAAATGTTTTTTTCAAAAATTAATTAGTAAACTTCCATAGTATCGGAACCTATTCGATTCAAACAAACAATCAATTCTTTCCTCTTTATAATGTTAGTATAGAATACTATGTTGCAAACTGTTAAGTAATTGGAACACATTTGTTTGATAGTTTTAAAAATAATTTAATGTACACTAATTGTTTTCCAACAGTGTTATAAACTACCAGTAGATCGAGGCTACGGTAATCGAAGTGGGGCGGGCGCAAAAATGTGGCGCAGTCGCAGTGGCCGATCGAAAGTTCTGTCGTCAGAGTTGTCAACCTTGGCATTTGAGCGGGTTCCGGGCCCGACGAACGTTCGACCTCTACTAGATACAATAGTTCTGAGTATTTTTTTTAAATATTCAATAAATACCTTTTTAAATAAAAATATATGTTAAACCGTGGTTTAACCACATTGTTAAACAATGATTCATTCTAGCATAATGCAAATCATTATACAGTTTTTGAAACTACTTATTAAACCGTTTTCTCTTTGAGTAACCTACTTACTGAGTTTTAATTTTTCTTTTTCTAAATAATAAAAGGAATCAATCTCTTTCTATACGCGCAGAAAAGATAACTAAACAATATTAAATCAGAAATTATTATTCTGGTTTTGATTTCTATCTTAAATAAGACTTACAGCTGTATTAAGAGTTATAACATTTTGGAAACTAAACCTTTAAAATAGCGAACAATTGAATTGTTAATTTAAATCTATATACTTATATTGTTTCGACTTTTCATGATCTTAATGGCGCTTTTACAAAAGCTACTAGTATGTTCTTTATTATTACTATAAAAGACAATCCAAAGATTTGCAGCCTTCATTGAATTAGATACGCACTAAAGCTAAAGATAATCACCCAGATTTATTTAAATCTTGACATGACATAATCGTTTTACATAGGTCACGAACGAGTTTTTATATAGCGTAATAAAACATCTGTGTTACAGATAACAGCTAAATATTGATAACATCACCATTGCGTCTCACTTGTAGGAAAATTCGTGAGTGAGAGTTTGAAGGCGAAATCGAGTGAATCTTTATTTCTTCTCGACTTGCCCAATGCTGGATGACTTGTGTTATACTAAATATCCACTTACTACACACTTTATAAGATTTGTGTTGAATAGAAGTAATAAATTTAAGAAAATAATACACGTTTAATTTTTAAACATTCGTCAAATTTATCAAATATGTTTAAACATTTTTAAACATATTTGATAAATTTCGCTTTCACAATTAAGCAAGAAATATTTCTTATTCACAATATTTGGATAATAAATATCATCTTAACTTCTTAATTCGGTACCAGAGATCTCTAATAGTAATTTCCAATTTATTATGCGTCATAGCATACAAAATACCAGTCCCTTTAATTTACTGGACTGACCATATACTTAATGTGATTGATATACGTAAATCATTAGAAACGTGGATTTTAATTGCTATTTTATTATATAAAATTGACTATTTATTCTTACTATTAGCTGTTATAGAACTATACACATCATATATTTTTGAAAAGTAGTTAAATATTACACGACTTTTTCATAATGAGGCCGCTTATTAAATATCCATTATTTCTGTTTACTTTTTAATAGAGTACGATTCCAGCAAAGAGCTCCTTTGTATAAAAATAATGGTTAAAATGGATCGATGAAGTTGATTCCCTTATAAGTCTGAATATACCTAAATATTGACTATTAAAAAGTGTCAAAACGATAAAAATTGTAAGACATATGACATTACATATTTCATATTTTTTATCATACTTTGATTGAATGACAATAAGTTACCCTATGTCAAGGTTCATCCTCATTTACGTTAAGTGATTATGACGTGGCGTCGTAAGTTAGGAACCGTAGTGTGGTGATGTCACCCGCCTGCGAAAAATCCGTGCGCAGCTAAGTTGGATCACCGACTGTTAAGTATATTTAAATATATGATAAATATTTAAAAGCAAAATTAAACAAACCTTCGGCCTCTTAGCTATCTATGAAGCTCTGGTATTTCTGACCTGTCATTTTATTTTTTTTATCCGACCACAGCGAGTGAAAAGGAGGGTTATGATTTTGGCCGGTATGTATGCAAGAATGTTCATCTATCCCCCTATAACTTTGAAACTACTCATCGTAACTGGACAAATGAGATATCATTAGAAGCGTCTTAGTTGTCTTCGTGCTATAAGTGACGTAACGTTACATAAAATTGGCAACAGTTTGTTTAGTTATGATCAGTGGCATACGACTACGCTGTCCTTTGGTCATCGCTATCATAATATAACTATCGCTATAAAATTAATCTCTTGTAAAAATTTGGAATCTAATATTCATTTTATTTATATAATAAATTTCCGTTAAGGTTAACATACCGCACCCAGGTTCTTAAACCTCTCAACTGACAATTTCTACAAAAAATAAATGGATTCTACAAGTAGATGCAACTTGAAATTTTCAATCGAATGGTGTATTTAACTTCAAATGGTATATTTTTACCAGCATGTTTGAAATATTACTGAAATTTGTGAAACTAGACAAGGAGGCCGTCAAATCTAGACGTCTGTCAGCCACTGCCGACCACAGGCGACCACTCAATGTAACGTCATCGAACATCCGTGACGATATCACGTAAAAATTCAACTGCACGGACTGCATGGAACTAGTACAAATACGTGGAAACCTGGTCAGATGGCAGCCCTAAATCAACATCACAACAAATAGATTGCTGTATATATAATCTGAATGAATAGAATGTCAAAATTAAAAATAAAGAATAGATAAATATTTTCAATTGAATATTTTTTGTCATATTGAAAATACTTAAACAATATTAGAAATACGAACGATGTATTCTAAAGTACTTAGAAATATGGTTTGGCTATAACTGTGTTTATTCTTGTCTACAACGCCTTCGCACCCACAATACCAATGAATATTTATAATTAGTAAATAGTAAGAATTTATTGTTCAATTCCGACCTCCGTAAATTGAATACTTTGGAACTGAAGTTGTTCTATTTATTAAACATAATACCTACTTTCATTATTGTTTTATTAGGTACCTAATATTCATTACTGAATTCATATCTATGGCGATTCTTCGTATTACACAAACGAAGACAATGTAATAGATGACCAACGTGGTCGAAAGGTTAGCACTGGTTCGATTCCCGGTCGGGCCAATGTAGATAACGAACTTTTCTGTGTTTCTCGTATACATTGTGTAGGTAGGTATTATGTCTTGATGATGTCTTATATTCATTTATTTTATATAAAATCTTAATAGCAATACGTGAGAGTATACCCAAGTGCTTCAATAAATTGTTTAATTTGATTATTACTGATTATAGACTGAAGTTGAGTTAAGACAAATAATAAACATAAAGGGGAAATATTACATAAGACTAGCAATGCCGTCCAATAGATAACTTAATTTTCATTGTTACCGATTATAGACTCACATGATTTTCATTGAATATAAACAGCACCTAAGTTGTATTTATTTACACACACTTATAAATATTACAGACCAATAAAAAACGTGAAAGGTTAAAACTTTGATGATATTCAAGGTAAGTTTAGTGCATATTCGAAAGTCTACGTGCAGAGTATCCGAATTAAGAACTTTTATTGCTGTTACGTTTTCGTAATAAATAAATTTAACAAAAACACAAAAAATGGAACCGAATCGACATGCAATTTATCAATGTTGTATACTAAAAAAATTAAAAAACTTGATCACGCACATATATAGGGAAGACTTACAATTTTTGAATGCATGAGTAATAAAAACGAAAATTTCGTACTATATGTATACTTGGCAGTTTGAAAAAAATGTATTTGCTAAGGTTTTACTTTAAAAAATCAAAATTACAACTTTATATACTTGTTCTGAGTATATAAGTATGTACATTTGGAATTATTTTTGCAGTAAGGTTACTACCGACTTTATTATCTTGACACAATTTTTAAACTATCTGCTGTTAAATTCGGTTTTTTTTTACTGATGGAATAGTATTATTTTATCCTATATGATACCATTTGATTAGGATAATGTTACAATTTGGAATATGAACATTATAGCAGCATCAGTTGTCTATTTCATTGGTGGTACAACTAAATTTGTTTTATACCTATGGTGTTTACGGTCAAGAACAAAGGACTATTTACACGAAGCCGGAAGCCGCGTCAGTCCAGTAAGCCAAGCCAGTATTAACCTCGTATGAGACATCCTTAACCCAGTAATCAAGCCAGTATAATGAAACATTACGAATATAGAAGCATAGGTATTGGAATAGCATAAGATTTTGTCAATACCAACCTCCCTCCGTAGATCTCATTTGCGAGCGGTGTAAGCTCGTCGTCAGAGTTATCACTGCCCTCATCCCGGCGTTTCCCTCCAGACGTTGCCATTTTTATTTATATTCTGAAATCAAATAAAATACAAATTAAATTAGAGAATAACTTAAATGAAAGTAGACGTGGTAGTTAATTTGATTTATTTGTTACATACATTCATTAGTATTCGTTAGTTTCCATCCATTAGTATGGATAATAATACAAATTACAGAGAGATAAAGTTTCTAACTTTGTTTATTTGTAAGGGGGTAATCTTCGCAAATAGCGATCGGATCGATAAGCTACATTACACGCTGGTGACATAGGCTATAATATACGAGGGCGAAGTCGCGGGAAAACAGTTAGTTTAATTCAAAAAAATATCTGTAATATATTCGACAGTTAAACCAATTACTTTGTAATAATTTTAAAGTAGACTACAATCTGGCTAGCTTACCATTTAGGACTTATTGAAGTATTTTCTCACGTCTTTAGGTGTTCTTGCTATCGTGACTCAACGTCGTCATGACAGAAGAAGAAAAAACTTTGAGATATTATTTAATTGCTATCTACCTTGTAAGAACTTAATCATACTTTATCTTTATGGAAAAAACATACGGCAATGTACGGTTAGCTCTACATGATTATAATTCTAATTTCTTTCTCAATCCAATCTAGCTGAAACCTCAGGTGGCAGACTAGTTCTGTTTTATTACAAGACAGCCCACAAAAGGAGTAAGTTGTGTTTAGGGTTAAGTATTCTTCTATTATGGGTATCAATAAAATTACTAAGAAGAATACGATAATAAGTAAAAAAAACAAAAAGCTTTTGTTCAAATACGTTACAAAAGAAAAAAAATCTTTAATGTGAATCGAACCTATCATACATAATTCTATTATTTTCTAAAGCTAAAACACTTATTTAAATTCTATTCCACTAGCGGTAGAAGACATCAAGTGAAAACTGTCAACTCTCAAAAGAAAAGATTCGTCTATTTCGTCTACGAGTATTTAATGCAAACTGCTTTCGATTTAGGTACAATCTGATGTTGAATACATTGGATAATGTGAATCATGCCTCTACGAAGTGTACATTCCTGACATACAAGCCTCCGACCTTGCCGGTCATTCATCCCTTGAATACATGCGAGAAATGGATCCTCATTTCACATTCCTAAAACTGCGTTTTTTGCTCAACAGTTTATTTGTAAGATAATAAAACCTATATCTAATGTATTTTTAATAAAGTTTGCTGTTTTTAATATCGCTTTTAATCTTTTTTACTACAGGATAATTTTTATTAAGAATAAGAATAACAAATCAATTTAAGCTATGTTCATTTTATTTTTAAATGATCGATACATACCAAATATTAGGATTTTTTTATTTTCAATTGTTGGAACAAGATATTAATAAATTTCCATATTTTCCCTTAACTTGTGCTGAGCCTTAATTTCGAATCTTTGAATATTCATCAATGGAAATCAATGGAATGGAATAGTAAACGTTAAGAGTTTAACTAACTTGTGAAGTAGAAAAAAATATGAAGCATATTAGTTCATCAATTTTAACTTTAATACACTTCCTGAAGAAAATGAATCTTGAAACGCAATGAGCCTATAACCTTTTTTATTTATTTTGTTAATATTTTTTTTATTCTATATAAACAGATGTTATACAGATATTAGTTACAAGATAATTTTCTATTATCTTAATAGCTTCGATTAAGGTTGGAATGCACAGAAATAAACTGCATCAGAACAAAGGAACGCAGTAAAAGCCAGCCTTTAGTTTATTTACTTTACAGTTGATCACAAAGGACATAGTTACTAAGTACGTTATGATACGTTTTCGAAATATAAACACCTAGCTGTTTTCCCGACACTTCGCACGCAGAATTAAATAATAGCCTATGTCAATCCCGTATGTTGTAGCTACAGATAACCTCCAATAGATGCCGCATGAACAAAAGTAATAATATGCGTATGCGAAACCTCATTTACGACCAAGTGCTCGATCTATGAATATAAACTTTGACGAGAAGACTTTTCTTTACAATAAAGTAGTTATTAGGTTAATCATGGCAAGTTGTATTGTCAAATGGTGTGGAAAAAAATTCCAGAACATCTAATTGCAAGAAAGATGGTATTACTTTTAAGCAGTAATGTAAATTTTATTTCTACTTTTATCTAGAGGAGTTCACGTTACAGTAGCCATTTAAAGGTAACTTTATAAAAATCCAGCACGTGTTGAAGTCTTCTTAAAACCCATCCGTTTCTCTCATTACGGAATAAGTATATTTATTTCATTCTGACAAAGACACGTATAACAGTAGTATCGCGATATTTCCATACGTAAACATTGATTGAAATATTTGTACTCAGTACGAAAAATAGTACACAACAGTACTCCGAGGTTAATAAACAATATTTGTCATGTACCTACAGTACCTATGTTAACTAGTTTAAGATATTTCAGAACATAAGTAGTTTTAGATTTCATTAATAATGTTCATCCTATTTCAATACTTGTTCGTTATTTAAAAGTTCAAAGTTTGCAACTTTTGCATTTTTCATCAAAATTAACCCCTTTTTAAAAATTCTAGCGCAACACTAATTTTTATGTATGGTTTATGTCTCAGTGGATTTTATCGTAACTTTAAATTAGAAAGTGTAACAATTAAACCAGTGCTACAAGAAATGCATAAATGGTTATTTTTTGAGAAACTCTGATTTTTTTATATCGGGGTTATAAATTCACGTTTTGGTTGGGATTGAATATCTAAAATTAGTACAAAATAAATTTCGAAAGTTAGTGATTTTAGGCGTACACGTTCACTGAAATCTTGCCGTTGGATGCCTTGACCCTCAATTAGTTTATAATGCTATAAATTGTGAATTAAATAAATATAATAAAAAATATTTTTAATGATATCCAATGGTAACATTTACATAATATCGATCAAATATCGACATGCCTTAAACACATTATGGTCCTCATCACTACGGAATAAGTGTCTTTATACTAGTCAATAGGGTCGCTGCAGTTACCTTGCCCCCCACATACCCACCGCTCAGATTGGCATCTTTATTTATTTAACAAAATAGTCATCATGCGGTATATATTGGAGGTTATCTGTGGTTGTACCCGTAGGTGAAAGAACTTTGAAAATCTGTCCAAACAAACAATCAAGTCTTCGCTACTTATAATATTAGTATAGATTTTTTTCTACCAAAACCAAAATCAGTTGAGCCATTTCACTGCGAAAACATAAAAAACACGTTAAACAAAATTTATTTTTGTTTTTAGAATATAGAGTGCAATAAAGAATCGGTCAATGGTCCTCCATCGAAATAGAAACAATCTGCATCGTATATTGCTTACATATCGCTTTAGGGCCTTGAAATACCAAGGTCAGCGACTCCCCGAGTCTCCGACCTCCTGGACAATGCCTCGGCTACATTGTACCATGGTATGGTATAATGGACAATACTATTTTTTAATATCTTATTTATCACATCTATCAATGTGCATCTTGAAAGAATAGATAGATGATTTGGAATTGTTTTTTGATAAATATAACATTCTGCTAATAAGCAAAATATTTGCATTTATTATATTCATAGCCAGAGGTAGCAATTCTCCACAAACTAGAATATATTTAGGCTTAATCCTGTCAAATTGAGTCTTCAGTTGAAAAAACGATGAGATGAGTTATTTATTATATTTTAATACAGTTATATTTATTTCATTACGTATTATGACTAGGAATCATTTTAAAACAAGCACAAATAAAAGAAACTTTTTAGTTTAGTGTAGAATGGTACAACAGAATGTGCACCAAAATTTGTTGATACTCTTCGTTCATATTTTTGTCACATAGCATGTGATATTATTATAACATAGAATTTCCGGCTACTTATGTGGTTTTCTATTATTTTATCCAATCGACGAAAGAGGTAAGACGTAATAGGAGGTGAATTTTAAATTACAAGTACCACAACACCCAAATCTTTGACAATACAGAAAAGTTCATTTTCTTCATTTACTCGACCGGGAATCGACACCGGGAGGACCTGAGACATGGCGACACCTCAAAACTGGCGTGAGAACCACTCGGCTACGGAAGTAATTAAAACTTCATTAGACATAATTTCATAGAACCACTCCGTACGGATTGTGCAACTGTAGGGTAAGTACTGGCGGTCACTACGGCCCGTGCGTGGTGCATACCTCTACATACATTAGAATGCGGATGTATTGATGCAACGCAACTCAGTGTTTAAGTACCTATGCCGCCGAAAATTCCAAGTCATTCAATTATTCTTGTACACACTGGGCAAACATTCGCCTTACAGTTGCACCAGTTATGTTACAAATTAACGATCAAACAACTGAGGATAACTGAAAGAGATAAACTAAGTTTGATTCAACAAAATGATTCTTTTAAATTGTTTTAATAATCAGTTTGGAAAGATTTTTTAAATTTTCAGATAGTTAAATATTAATAAATATTCAAAGGTATAATGGGAATACCATTATACACAATCGCTCAGTAAATTTCTCTACACAAGAGAAGCTAAGTTGAATTATTTAATAGAACTGTCCGTATATTCATCCGACTCAAACTGTATTACCATTACAATATCCCTAATAAATCTATACTAATATTATAAAGAAGTAAAGTTTCTAACTTGGTTTGTTTGTAGGGGATAATCTTCGAAAATACTAATTCGACCATGAAAATTCATTCACATACGAAGCTACAACATAAGCGGGTGTTATAGGCTATGCTTTACGCGGGCGAAGTTGTGGAAAAACAACTAGTATATCATACACATAGTATTCTATATCAATGCATACAAATTCGGTGGTTTTCATTTGTTAGCTCAGTTGTAACTCTCCTTTAGCCGCAATAAGGTTTTTTTTCAAGGATAACGTAGCAAATGATATCATTGACTTTTAAATAACAAGAAACTAGTTTCCAATATTTTTAAAATAGTTCTGTGTTCGTAATATGAACTCCGTAGATAAAACTGTTCAAAGATATTGACGCATTTTCTCTTACATTCCTA